TGTTTAGCGCGATTGTTGAAGTTCAGTGTATCGCAGAGTTATATTCGGAAAGAATAAACCAGTTTTATTAAGTAAAGACTTGTGTCGCTTAAGTTTCGTCGGAACGAAGTTACGGAAAGTTAATTAACAAACGGAGACGTAACACTGTTATTATTCAATGTATAAAGATTATATTTTTTTATCTTTTTCTTTATCATTTAGGTACCCTTTCTTTTACCAATGTTTTTTGGGTTGTAAACCCAATAATATCTCGTGAGGTTTGGTCAACTTGACGGGTTTATGTTTGTCCAAAATCATTATACAAAACTAACAATACAAAATAATATCTATAATAAAAAATATAACTAATGGAAAGAGATAAGTTAAACATTCTGCACAATACTGTTAATGAAAATAACATTAAAAAAAATGAGTATAGTAGCTGTAGTAATATAGTACTACTACTGTTATTCAAAGTAAGTAGCGCATCATTATATATATACATATGTGTGTGTGTAAGAGTAAATAAAGCTGAAATTAAGGCATTTTTCACAAAGAAAGTCATATAAATGCAGATATAACTTATTTAAGCAGCATTAGGAGAATAAATAGCATACATAAGGATACCAAAAACCTGTTAGTAAAACTTTATATTTAAAACCAGTCAAATTTTATAAATATTGTTAATTATTTGTTTATAGTCTCGTTATTAATAGTTTAAAGTAAGGAAGTTCAACTGAGATGCTAATAAATAAATCAACCAACAAATTTAAAACAAACCAATTCATTCAAAGAGAATTTTATGTTTCAAAAATAATAATAAAATCAATTATGTATGCTGAAATAGTATTTCTACTTTCTTTTAAGGTTTCTAAATCATGTTAAACTATTCCATCATTGTTTGATATTCATAGATCATGAATGTTAAAGGAAAATCTCTGAGTTTACTTATTAATAAATTAAAAAAAAAATTTAATGGGATAGTTGTCTATTTCAATTAATTTAAGAATTACATCTAAATACAATAATTCTGAAAATTTGACAACTTAAAAGTGTTTTTAAGTGCTTTACAACAGTAAAGTAGTTGTAACTTGTTTAATTAATTTGCTTGTATGCTTCTAAAACATTTCAACTAGTGTTACTAAAGCATTTAAGAATTTGTTTTTAAAACTAATCATATTTAAGTTTTATTTTAATAGAATGTGAGTAAAAGATTAAATCCTATGTAAAATAAAGTATATAAACTTATAATGATTGAATTACATATATTTAAGTGTAACAAGTTCACTGTTAATATAGTTTTTGACTTTAAGAAAAATATATAAGCTTTTATAATGCACTTACTGTTACTTATTGTTGGGTACTCATTTACAGTTTTGTTCGAGAACCACCGCAACCATCTTTCCAATGTCACTCAATTAAGGAGGGGTTCACAAAAACAAAAGTTGGCATTAACAATATCCATACATCAAGTGAAAAACTACGATTTGATCCTAAAGTACTGGTGTTTCTTGAAACACAATATTCCAGACTGGGTAAACACATCTGCGAAATTCTTGAAGCTAGTCGAACCAAGTAAGCTTTTGGTCTCTGAGGAGTGCATGCTTTAAAATATTCTTAATTGCTTAATTCAATAATCATCTGACATTATATAGAGAGTAATAACCTTATCATTCCCCTCCCACAAGAGTGTGAGTAAAATTGAAACAAATAAAATGATGCAAAAATCATCTGCTTTAGTCTTAAGGTTTCAGTGGTGTGTTGTTTCTTCTACTAGGTATAAAGTAGAGATTTCAGGGAAAAGTCTTCCTCCTCTGACAAACCATGACAAAGGAAAGTATGCTGTTATTGTATTTGAAAACTATGAAAAATATCTTGCGATGAACAAGTGGAATCGACATTTACTTGATAAGTATTGCAAGGAATACAATGCTGGTATTATAGGATTTCTACATTCTAAAGAGGAGACTTTCATTGGTGCTCAACTTTCAGGTATTTAGTATGGCAATATATATGTCAAATATGTAACTGTTTTTGTTGATGAAGGGCTCATACAGCTGTTAAATAAATATTTTTGTTAACCCAGCATAACTTTTTAATTTAACAAAACTGCATCATCTATCTAAGGTAATGTTGGTATTAATTGTTTAGTTAATCCTGTGAAAAAGAATGCTTATGTTGGTATTAAGTTGATATAACTTTTTTTTATTGTTAATAGGAACATTACTAATGTTCTTTTGATTTATAACTTCCTTTTTTTATATCTTACTGACAAAGCTAAAGAATGTCAGTTTTAAAGTGTGTTTTTTATTCAATTGAGCTATTATTTGTTTAAGATGACCTTGGAAAGAAAATTTTTAATCTAGTTCATTCACATGCTATTACTTTTTGAACAGAAAAGCGTGCTTCCATAACAGAATATCCACTCTTATTGTACCTAATTATCTTGTTATAGGTTGTTGGTCTAAGTTGCTGTAACTAGTTCTACTGTTAAAAGTTTTTGATGAGTTGCTGTAACTGACCAACCAATCATAAGCTGCTGTAGATATCTGTCCTCTTAAAGGTTGTTACTCTAGCTAACTGTCCTGGTGAAAGTTTTTGATAAATTGTTGTAACTAATCAATGTTATTGTAGACACCTGTCCTGTTGAAGGTTGTTGGTTAAGTTGCTGTAACTAACTGACCCTCCAATCATTGGTTAAGTTGCTGTAGATACCTGTCCTGTTAAAGATTGTTGGTTAAGTTGAATAATTATACTCTATCAATTTACGAACAACTTTGTAATTTATGTTAAAATTCTATAAAAGTGTTTAACTGTAGTCATTCACTTAATTGATAAACAAATATATTAATGTTATTTTTCAGGTTTTCCTCTTTTTATCAGTACTAACCATCAACTTCAAGACTACTACCTCAACCCCAGCTCCTCAGTCCTCAGATTAACTCGAGCTGGGGAAGTATATTATGGGGCATTACCCTCAGGAGACTGGACTGTATTTAAAACCAATGACTCCTCTTATGAGCCTGTAACTTGGTCCAGGCCACAGCAGTTTGCACCAGTCAATTCTGATGACCTCATTCCATTTCTTACTACTGTAATTCAGGTAAGTCTGCAGGTGTTTAGTAGTGAATTTATATTTTCTGTTTGGCACAATTAAAGATACTCAAAATGAAGAAATGTCTTAGGTAGGGGAAAAATAAGCTAGATAAAAAACTTCATATTAACCTTCTGGATATGAGTAGGTAAAAGTACTCGTGTCATAAACTTTTTACAGAGTTACATCCAAAATTTAATTACCTACTTTATTATCATTAACATCAAATTATAATTAATTAACCAAATTTGAATATTATATAAGTTTTAGTTTTTAATTTTAAAGGAGAATATTTAAATAAATTCTCAATCTACACTTTTCTGCTCTGAATTACACAGTTTAGAAAATCTTTCCAATTCTATTTCAGCTTCTGAATTTGTGTACAGGTTACAAACTTATAGATATTTCTTAGACATAATCTAACTTTATAACCTTCAGTTGTCTTGTTTTGCTGAGATATATACCAGAATGTCAAGCCTTTGTATTACATATTGTCTTTCAAAAAATATCAGTAATTCTCTTGGTTTTTTGCCATTACATTATTTATAACCAATAAGAAGAGAAGATTTTAATTTACTGATTTACGTATAATGCTAACCCATTCTCACAACAGCTTTTGAATTACTTTTAAGTACAGATTAAAAACTTTATCACCAATTTCAGTTTGACCAGCTAAGGGAATTATGTTAATATGCTTATAGCTTAGTTAGAAATCCAATTAAATTATAATAGTTATAGGACATTATATGCTTTATGTGTGTTATTATTTTATATTCTATCTTACCTCCGCTCACGATGTAACTTTTCTCGACTTGTACTACTAACATAGTGACATTCCTACAAAGAAAAACAATACAGGAAAGAAACTTTGTTGATGCTAACAGTGAGAGCCACATCTAAGGAAGACTGCAAGGCAAATAATTGACCCTGAAAAAATGAACCAGAAGAACGATAATAATTGAGAACTGGTAATTGTGCTGATGATGGAAGTCTCACAATGAGACAAATCATAGGGTTCATTGCAGAAAACTGGCAATAGGTCAGAGTAAAAGATCATGTGGACCCCCCCCCCCCCCCCCCCCCCCCCCCCCCCCCC